CTTCCTGAGATTCATCATGTTGTAGCATGTATCAGTAGTTTATTCCTTTTTTACTGCTGAGTAGTATTCTATTGTATGAATATACCACAAGCTTTTTTAATCCATCAACCTGTTGATGTATATTTGGGCTGTTTCCAGATGGCTTCCTGAGATTCATCATGTTGTAGCATGTATCAGTAGTTTATTCCTTTTTTACTGCTGAGAAGTATTCTATTGTATGAATATACCACAAGCTTTTTTAATCCATCAACCTGTTGATGTATATTTGGGCTGTTTCCAGATTTTTTGCTATTAAAAATAAAGCTGCGATGCATGTGTGTACAAAACTGTGTGTGTTTGTGTGGACATATGCTTTTATTCCTCCTGGGTAAACACCCAGTTTTGAAATGGCTAGTCACATGATAAATGTGTTATTAACTTCTTAAGAAATGGCCATACTGTTTTCCGAAGTGTTTTTACCATTTTTCATTCCCACCAATAGTAAATGAAAGTTCCAGTCTCTCCACATCCTTGCCAAAACTTGGTATGATCAGTCTTTTAAATTTTAGCCATTTTAATAGGTATGTCACACACAAAGATGCTCAACCTTATTAGTTTTTTGGATGTAGTTGTCAATTTAATACATAGCACGATTCATCTCTCCCTTTAATATTGAAAAAGCACAGAGTTACAGTCTCACTCAGCCCAGCTTGCCTGACAGCAAAGGGAAATCAGAAAGACTATTATCTGACAATAGTGAAATACATATGTGTAAGTATATCGAGCTTGCATTAGTCAACTTGAGATAAAATCTGAATTTCATCTTTATGCTTAAGTTGATCTATATAAGGCTAATTGATTTCATAAATTATTTAAAAAACATGTTCTTGACTTCACATGACTTTTCTAACTCCCATTTTATCACATGCAGAAAATATTATGATCATATTCACCTGGTGAATCTGAGTGAAGAGGGATAACAGGTCTAGGATAGTGAGGCAAACCTCTGTAGCTATATTAGCCTCAGTGTCTACATGGTGCACGATGTCTATTTCATTGGAGTTGCCTACAAAATATAAAGTAAAACATACACAAATGTCTAAGAAAATTCTTTGTGCTCTAAAAAGGATTTCCTTCAATTGCAATACACAGTGTTTACTGGTATTTAGATTATTAGTTTATTAAATAAAAGTGCTTTTGTTTTTTCAATTTTCCTATTGCTAAATTAAAAACACTAGACAGAGTCTTTAGTGCGTGTGCCCTCTGCATATGACAGCTGTAGGATTTCCTCTAGTTCTTAGCTCTGTTCCATTAATTCAGCCATCGACAAGGTCATATGTCATCCATAATCAGGCTGTTTCAAGTTCTATGCTTCCAGGTTAATAGACCAAATGTACAGTCTCAGTGGACAGCCTACACAAAGGGCCCCTTCAGAAAGGCACAAAGTGTGTTTACAGGTTAAGGCATGTACCTTTAAACAAGTAACTGTGGGCCACGCATCCGTAATTGCTAACAATTACATGCTATAGAACACTGGGTTCCGTTTTTTCCTCATTCATAATCTGGGACATATGCATCTCTGGATTCAAGATTGCATGCTTACTGCTTCTGGGATATGGACAACGTTATCCTCTTCCCACCGAGTAATAACCTGGTTGAGAGAGGCCCCCACAACCCTCACAATGCCCAAAGTTACTTGTTTACCGAGAAGCTACCCAGCATATTACACTGAGAGTTGTCCCCAACCCCTTTTTTCCCCATAAAGGCACTACACTCTTAAAATCACTCTTTCCTCTAAGAAATATCCCAGGGCAACAGCAATCCTTAAAAGCAGGGGTTTCACTGGAACAACAATATTCCTTACATTTCTAAAACACCATTATGCATTTCATATGCTACACATACCTAGAGAAAAACTGATAATCATCTTGTTCCTATTATTTCTGGTTTACTTACTGGTCATGGTATGGTCTAACATCTGCAAGAGTTTGGGGTTAGAAAGTGCATTTTTGCCTCGTATTATAGGTAAAGTTTGTGATCTGTGCTGTTTATGTCCTTCGTGACTGGAAGTGGTGTGCATCCTGAAAATTAAATAAAAAGGCAGTTCAAGTTACTTGGAGATGTTATATTCAATGATTCATTGAAATATTCTAGATTGAGTCAAATATAAAAAATAATTTGAACAGACTTTTTATCCAAAGTATTAATTATAGGTGACATGATAAAAGGGACTTTTTAAAGTACTTTTGGAAAAATTTTATTTAAGCCAAAATAGGGTTCAGAAGAATAATATATAGAATAGCAGACACACAAATTAAATCTATTCAAACACATTCATTTTTTTAAATGAAATAGTGGGATTCCATAAATGCTAAGTTGTCTACTGGCTGATCAGACACAGTGGCAGACATTAAAAAGTACAATATTGTATAGCTCAGATGCATCAAATTATTTTTAAAGAGATAAAGCTTAAAATCTGTACTGAAACAACCCTGGCTTTCCTATCTCTGTGTTTGGAAATTCCTCACGATTTATCAATCTAGTCTGGAACTCATGGAGGAAAAGCCCTGGTTTCTAGGGGGTGAGGACTGCAAATGGCCAGGAGCTGTTCAGATAGTCCAAGAGAAGCCTGAAATCTAACTCTCCAAACATCTACAGAACTGCAGTGACCTCAGGTGGGTTATTATTAGTATTGAAGGTGGAAAGCAATTCTTTACTGTCCTCTATTCTACTACTATTTGCAAAACACACCCATTACATTTTTTTTTTTCATTTACTTTCTCACTAGAGAGCCATTCTAAAGGGTCCTCGTGGAGGGAGGTAAAATTTATTATAGGATTTATTGGCTATATACCACTTTCATATTCCCTTCTTAAAGTCTTTCTAAAATATTCACATTATGTATTATTATTATACCTCTGGGAAGAATAAATCAAACCTGGGAAAATGTTAGCAAAGAATTCTTATTTACTAGACCCCGAGGAGCTCTGAGGCAGGATCTCAGGACAAATGTTTGCCATTGGGCAGACTAATGAAGAATGATTCCAGGTCCTATACGTGAGTCAAATCAGTCTAATGACTAGGAAATG